AAAAAAAAAAAAAAAGGAAATTCAATTCCAAGTGGTGAACGGTAGAAAGTAGGAGATCCCAAGAAACTGTTAAAACACCTACAAACTGCAAAAAGAAAAAGAACTGAAGAATAAAATGGAGATAAGATTCCAAAGTTCAGAAAGCAATACACATAAAATCAAACAAAAAACAAGACAAAAATAACAAAACTACCCAGTATTCTAGAATGTATTTAAGTCTTTCACACTGAAAGTTTTTCTTTCTTTCTTTAACGTCCTACACCAAAAATTTAAACTAAGCACAACACAAGACTTTTTTCTTCTAAGAAAATATCTGGTATTTCATTGGTTATCATTTAAAAATATATATTTGTATATATGTATGTATGTGTGTGTGTGTGTGTGTGTGTACTCTTAACAATAATTCATTTCCACATGGAAAAAAATATTTTTAATAAAAGAATTTTAGAAATCCACACTGACAGGTATTTGTAAAGCGAAGCATATATACCAGAGAAAAAGAGACAAATCAGAAAATGCTATGATTAGCAATGTTTTAAATTAAGTTTGTGCTATACCTGTAGGTATTCCTGAAACTCTTCTCTCTTTGACTTCAAGAATTCATAATTTTTGGGGCCAATGATCCTCTTGGAAGGAAGCTGGGCATCAGGAAATGTGCCTGAAATTAATATGTATGTAAATTATTACTATGTTCTTCTAGTATTTTAAAAACCTAATTTATAATTTACTATGACAAATTCAGATTCATAATGCTGCTTGTAGAGATGTGGCATTATCCCTTAAATAATTCTGACAAAATCAGAGAGCTTCAAGTCAAAAGCCTACACCAAACAACCTGAATCTACTGATACCCAAAAATATCACTCTTCACTGACACAGATAGAGAAGCTTCAAAAAATTACCATGTGATTGTATTTTGAAATTGGTGGGATTCTATCCGACAAAATCTTACTAAAGAAATACCTAATCTCTTATTGGAAAAAAGGTAGCATTTTGCCAATGCTACATAAGCTTAACAGTTAAACTTTGAAACCATGGATATGCTTTCTCAGACAGCGTTGCCTTTTGGAAATTTTTATACCAAAAGGGAAAAACATTGTTGGGAATCCAACAAACTTTAGTTGACACATGTTATTAAGTATGGAGATAAACCATCTTCTTTCAATTCTAAACAGTAAGGAAAATTGTCAGAAAAAGAGTAAGACAAGGATGGCACAGCACCAGATTGGCAGAGAAAAAGAGGAAACTATTTAAAGACAAGTACAAACTGAAAATCTAGGCAGAAAGTATAGACATTGTCTTTTTTATCTTCCTATAATCTCTGTATCATGAGCTTTGCTCTCATAGCAGAGTAAAGAAAGTTTCCTGCTCCTCTCAATCGGAACCAACCTGAATTTAGATCAGGACCACTCCATAGAGTTGTTCTAAAATAAAGTTTCAGAATACACAAATCGTTTTCACTAACCAACATACAAAATGACTGGAGATACTTCATAGCTATGTCCCTCATATTACCTAAAATAGAAAAAAGAAACTTGAGAGGTGACAGCAAACCCAAAATGGAAAAGTGCTCTCCTTTTCTGATTAATCTACCCTCAAACAAAATAGTCAAATACAAGTTTTGTGTCTCTATGTAAAATCTGAGAGCTAATTCAAAATGCTTTCTATGATGAACAGCAAATAAGTTTACAAGGAGCAACAGAGCAACTCTGAAATGCCTGCTTTAAATTCACCACATCAAGACCAACAAAAATTAAATTGGATAGAGAATCTTTTCTAAAACAGAATTAAGGAATAGCTACCTTTTAGATTTTAATATTATTTAAAAAGCAATGAATGTGCACTGTAAAACTGTGAAAGTATAAATAAGCAGAAATAAGATTTTTAAAAATACGTATGTGCGTTCCCATTATCAATAGCAGTGAACACAAGTGTTGCTGTTACATTTCCTTGGTACAAAATGATTTAAAATCAAAGAGTCTGGTTCAACAGCTTTCCAGAAGGCTAGCACTGAAATGTAATGTTTTAAAGAAAAAGAACAACATACCATGAAACTCTGTTAGTTTTGATTCAAGTACATAGAACTCAAGATATCTTCTATAGACAGACCAATGTTCAGGCTCATGTCCAACTGTAAATTGAAAGAATACACTAAGTAATAAATAATTTTACAAACTACTACTAAAAGGACATAGTATTTAAAACATTAAGTATACAAAGTTGGAAATTCTTCCAGTCTTAATAATTCATTATTTCTTGGAATCACATTAAATACATATTTTATCCAGTATTTTAATTTTAAATTACTTAGAAGAGATTAAAATTCACCTATTTATAGTTACCTCAGTAATATATACATTTTTCTACAACAAAATCATAGAGATGAAACATCAAAATTATGCACTTTTAATTATCTTTAAACTGTTACAAAATAATGTACTTCATAAAAATGTCTTTCGAACATTTACCCATTGTCTTGATCTACATAACAGAACTATCCAACAGAACTTTCTGCGATTCTGAAAATGTTCTACATTACATGCAATAACATAGTAGCTTTTAGCCATGTTATCACTTGAAATGTGATTAGAATAAGTAACGAACTGAAATTTTAATTTAATTTAATTTTAATTGCTACATGTAGCTTGTAGTTATCAAACTGGATAGCACAAAGCAATGGCTTAAAGAATGAGTCAGGTCAGAACTGTCTATTCAAATCCCAGTTCCCCCATTTACTATCTAGTAAAAACCTGAATAAGTAACTTAATTGCTTTAGTTTGCTTAAAATAAAAGTAACTGTACCTACTACATAAAATCACCCACCTAAAGCACTTTTATACAATGCGTAGCAACAGAATAAGCACCCCAAAAATGTTAACTGCTATTATTAATATCTCATGTCACTCTAGCATAAATTTGGAGAGTCAACTAAAACCAAAACAACACCCACACTCAGAAAAAAACAACCTAACACTGTCACAACCTATAAAGTAAATCCTATTTTCCTCAACACTGGTCTATAAAAATCTGGATTATATTTAATTTTGGTTTTTAAAATCCTGAAATTGCTATTTTGCTACACATATAAAATCAGTGAGTACTTAAATGTTAACTTTTTTTTCACTCATAGGCCATGGCTTCCTCAGAACACATTACATTGTCAATAAAGTCTGTAGCACTGCAGACAAAGATTATTCTTAGAATGTAAGTTTCAAGATTTTTTATTTTACTTTTATGGCTAAATTATTAGGCCAAACTTTTTAAAATAAAGCACAAAAATTAAAGATAGCTGGCCAAAAGGCAAAAACAAAAGTATAGTCCCAAAATACTTAAAAGTATATCACACATAAATCTTCCAAAAGGAGATAAAAGTTACTACAGGCTTATATCAATGTATTCATATTGTTAGGGCTTTGTATCCAAATAGTCAAAAGTTTTAAATAATCTCCTGAGAAATAAGATAGTGTGGAAATAGCCAGATTTTAAATATTAGGCATAGGAAGGACCTGAACCTAGAGGTTAACTAGAGTCTTTCTTTCAATCCTTTCTCGCACTTTAAATGACAATCAGTAGGAAAAACAGACAAAAGATGCAAACAAAACTATTTTTGAAACTGTAATCAGACTATAATTTCAACCATGGTTTGTCTATAAACCTTTTAGAATGTGACACAGAACAGCAACTAGCAATAGTGAATGGAAACCACAGCAAAATCAAGTAGTTCTAACTCAGAATGGGACAGGGCAAGACACTGTCTTTCCAAAGATTTGAACTTAACTACAATAGGAAAAATCATAGCTAACTACTCCAAGCATCCTTCCCTCTCCATTCCCATGTTTTATGTTCTTGAAATAGGAACAGCATCTGAGAAAAGTAAAAAACCTAATACCTTGTAAAAAATGAACAAATTAGCAGTGACCTTCACACTTGTCACTTAGTCACTCCGCTCTCAAACATTTCCTAACATTCCCCCTTTTGTTCCATCTTTCCTCACAGATCCATCCCTCTTTCTAAGCTCAACCTTATTTTTCTGCTTAATCCCCAAAAGGTGTACAACTTTGATGAGCTTTTGTTAGGGGCACGTTATTTTCCTCAGTTCTTGTCCCTTCCACAACAAATAATTGAAGGGCAGAGACACAGTAGTGAAGCAGAGTAAAAGTTTTATTTAAAATTACACACAGAGAGAGAAAATGCAGGAGTCTTAGGGAGGGGCCCTGAAAGGTTGAAAAGTTTTATTTAAAATTGTTGGGAGGAATTTGGTTTGGAAATGCAGGGAACTCAGAGGTAGAAGGTGAGGAAGGAATTCATTAAAGTAAGAGTGTCAGGGAATGACAGAACAGTGATAAAGGAAGTTCACTGAACTGCTACTCAGCATGGGACATGTCCCCTGCTAACTCCTCATGCCAGTGTCACCTGGCATCCAGTGTCCTCTTGGATCTACACAGCATGGGAACTGAGTCCCTACCACCCCGACGTTTGGGGGAGCCACAGAGCACTAGATGGAGTGAGATTATGTTCTGCAAACTTCCTAGAGGCAAAGAAAAGAGACTTTCAAGCAGGCTACTAAAGAGCACAACCGTATAGCTGCAGTTTTGTCCGGGTCACCCAGGCAACAGTAATTTGCAAACTAAGATCTTAACTCTCAGCAGCCCCTCCCTACTTATCTGAAATAGGACAGAGTGAGTGAAGATTTGAGTTTAAATCTGGAGGATTAGAATGAAATAGCAAAGTAACAAAGACACCACTGGAAAGCACACAGACAAAACATTGTAAATTGAGCAGTGATAAGTTTATTTAAGGCAAAAAGGTGCACACTCAGAGAAAGGGGACTATAGGGGAAACCTCAGAGAAGAGGTACACTCAAAGGTTAAAAGTTTTATTTAGAGAGAGAATGTGTGGGTAACATCAGAGAGGTGGTGCCCTGAAAGGCTGAGAAAAAATGTGGACGTCCTCAGAGAAGAGGTGCATTGAAAGATCGGGGCTTCCCCCTTTTAAGGATTTTTTCAGGAATGTGACAAAGGGCTATGGGGTATAGACTTGTTAAGTGGTCCCAAGATGTTTATCTTTGATGAGAGACATTAGGTTCTCTTCTTTTCTATTATCAGTCCTCCAGGTAATACTGCAAAATTAAATTAACACAAGAAATTTACTGATCTGGTTCCTCCCCAGGATCCCTCTGGGAACATATCAATCATGACTGCCTGCCCTGCCCTCAAAGTGGGCTGGGTTATTGTCTGTTTGAAAAGAATATGTCAAGAATCTTAATTCTTAACTTCCTAGGTTTTAAAATGCAATCTTAGCTTTAAGATGGAATCTTTCCTGTTTTTACTATACTGTTTATATCTGGGCTTGTTTAGAAAATTAATCATGTGGTTGTTTCCTGCCCAGGTTGCAAATTACTTGATTAGGCGCTAGAGGAGAAACAATCTTCTTGATAAAGATTTCAAAATAAAAATTATAAACATACTCACAGAGCTACAGAAAAATATTCAAAATCTCTGGGAGGACTTCAAGAAAGAGCCAACACCATACTTAATAGTGAAAAGCTGAAAGCTTTTCCTTTAAGACTGGGAACAAGACAAGGATGCCCACTCTCCCCAGTTTTATTCAACATAGTTCTGGAGGTCCTAGCCACAGCAATTAGACAACACAAAGAAATAACAGACAGCCAGACTGGTAAGGAAAAGTTAAACTGTTACTGTTTGCAGATGGCATGATACCATACATAAAAAACCCTAAAGAATCTGCCCCAAAACTACTACAACTAATAACTGAATTGAGCAAAGTTGTAGGACACAAAATCAATACACAGAAATCTGTTGCATTCTATATACTAACAATGAAGCAGCACAAAGACAAATTAGGAAAACAATTCCATTCACAACTGCATCAAAAAGAATAAAATACCTAGGAATAAATTAAACCAAGGAGGTGAAAGACCTATATCCTGAAAACTATAAGATACTCATGAGAGAAATTAAAAACACCAATAAATGGAAATACATCCCTTGCTCAAGGATAGGAAGAATTAATATTGTCAAAATGGCCATCCTACCTAAAGCAATCTAAAGATTCAATGCAATCCCTATCCAAATACCAACAGCATTCTTCCACGAACTAGAACAAATAGTTGTAAAATTCATATGGAACCACAAAAGATCCCCAAGAGCCAAAACAATCCTGAAAGGAAGAATAAAGCTGGGGGGATTATGCTCGCCAACTTCAAGCTCTATTACAAAGCCACAGTAATCAAGACAATTTGGTACTGGCAGAAGAACAGACCCATAGACCAATGGAACAGAAGAGAGAGCCCAGACATAAACCCACACATATTTGTTCAATTAATATATGATAAAGGAGCCGTGGATACACAATGGGGAAATGACAGCCTCTTCAACAAATGGTGTTGGCAAAACTGGACAGCTACATGTAAGAGAATGAAACTGAATTATTATCAAACCCCATACACAAAAGTATAAACTCAAAATGGATCAAAGACCTGAATATAAGTCAAGAAACCATAAAACTCTTAGAAGAAAACATAGGCAAAAATCTCTTGACTATAAACATGAGCAGCTTTTTCCTGGACACATCTGCTTGGGCAAGGGAAACAAAATAATGAGATATCACCTCACACCAGTTGGGATGGCCAACATCCAAAAGAGAAGCAACAAATGCTGGCAAGGATGTAGAGAAAGGGGAACCCTCCTACACTGCTGGTGAGAATGTAAATTAGTTCAACCATTGTGGAAAGCAATATGGAGGTTCCTCAGAAAACTAAAAATAGAAATACCCCAGGAATTCCACTCCTAGGAATTTACCCTAAGAAAATAGGATCACAGATTCAAAAAGACATATGCAACCCTACGTTTCTAGCTGTACTATTTACAATAGCCAAAAAATGGAAGCAACCTAAGTGTCCATCAGTAGATGAATGGATAAAGATGTGGTACATATACAAAATGGAGTATTATTCAGCCATAAGAAGAAAACAAATCCTACCATTTGCAATAACATGGATGGAGGTAGAAGGTATTAATGCTCAGTAAAATGAACCAGGAGGAGAAAGACAAGTACTAAACGATTTCACTCGTCTGTAGAGTATAAGAACAAAGAAAAAACTGAAGGCACAAAACAGCAGCAGACTCACAGAAGCCAAGAATGGACTAGCAGTTACCAAAGGGAAAGGGGTTGGGAGGGTGGGTGGGAATGGAGGGATAAGGGATTAAGGGGTATTATGATTAGTGCACATATTATGGGGGGGCACGGGGAAGGAGATATAGCACAGAGAAGACAAGTAGTGACTCTGTAGCATCTTACTATGCTGATGGACAGTGACTGTAATGGGGTATGTGGTATGGACTTGATAATGGGGGAAATGTAGTAACCACAGTGTTTCTCATGTGAGACCTGAGCATAAGATTGTATATCAATGAAACCTTAATAAAAAATAAATAAATAATAAAAAAAATAAAAATATTTTAAAAATAATAATTAAAAAAAGGAAAGTTTATCATTCCTGATAAATACAGACTAACAGTATCTTTTAAGAAAGTTACTCATAAGGCTTCCTACCTGCTCGTCTATCATTTCTTTCAACATCAATACAAAACACAGGTATTCTTTCCTTTTTCTCCTTCCTTTCAGAGGAGGAATCTTCAAAAAAGTCTACATATGGGATGCTTATTTTCCATGCAGCAAGGTTTCGGGGAGTATTAGGTGTGCTCACAGCTTCCACTGGAGAGTCATCTTCCATTACAACAATTCCTTCTTCGATCTAGAAAAAAAAAAATCACCAAGAAAAATTTAATATTTTCAGGGCATTTAAACTTACAGCATATGAGATACAACTATAAAGTAATATGCCCATATAAATACTATAATTCCTTAATACTTTTGTAATTAGTTGATACCAAATTTTCTACTGAAAATGCAAAGATAAAAATTTATAACAAGTTACCAGCATTACCTCTAGGTTTTTGTTACATCACCAAAAATGAAATTTCAATATAAAAGAGACACTTAAGAGATTATTGGAAAAGATATTTCATATACACAAAATATAGAAAAATGTTTAACACTGATAATAAAAGGCAAAAATTAATGTACTGATGTTTTTTCATTTAGGAACATAGTATTTAAAAATTATAACCATTGATGGAGACTGCACAGATAAACTACATTTCTGATAAGGTGTTGGTTATAATATAGGTTGCACTACCCTTCTGAAAAGTGTTTTGGCAATACGTATTTATAAAAACTTGTAGAAAGTTTCAACCAAGTACAGTCTCCAACTAACAATGGTTTGACTTAGAATATTTTTACTCTCCCATTGTGCAAAAGCAAAAGCATTCATAGAAGCCATAGTTTGAATTTTGATCTAGTCTCAGGCTAGCAATATGCAGTACAATATTCTCTCTTAATGGTATGCAGCAGTGCTGAGCCACAGCTTGCAGTCAGCTACACGATCACGAGGATAAACAACCAATACACTTACAATCATTTGGTACAACCTTCTGTTTTTCACTTTCAGTACAGTATTCAATAATTCTGTATTCAATTCAGGATCCACTTGACACTTTATTATAAAACAGGCTTTGTGTTAAATGATTCTGTCCAACTGCAGGTTAATGTTAAGTGTTCGGAGCACGTTTAAGTAGACTAGTCTAAGCTGTGATTTTCAGTAGGTTAGGAGTATTAAGTACATTTTCAACTTATATTTTCAACTTACTTTGGGTTTATCAGGACATAACCCCATGGTAAGTTGAGGAAGATCTTATACTTCACTTCCGGGAATGTATTCTAATGAAAATATTTATTCCAAATAAATTTTTTCTTAACTGTGAAAAAGACACAAGTATAAATATATTCACTGCAGCATTAAATAACATAAAATCAGAAAAAAGGTCTGAAAGGGACACAACTCTATAGAACTAAGCCTGTTTACTCATCTCCTGGCTTCTAAAATTTTAATAATATAAATGTTCAAAATATTAAATATCTTTTTAAAACAGTACTTGAAGAAAATTTATTTTTAAAAAGAAAGTTTAAACAAGTTCTAGAAATACAAATGCAGAAAGAAGGAAAAAACTATCTCTCCCTCATTAAATTGGAAGACAACCTTTGAATTGGCACATTTTAATACCTGGTCACCTACACATCTCGGATTCATATAAAAGGGAGAAAAATATTACAGATAAAACACACCCGTCTTGAACACACTTTTTTAAGGCAATGAATCAAAAGTTACAGAATTCTGAATAGCCTCGCCAGAGCAAACTAGCAGTAGAGAGGAATTTCCTTCCAGAATTCTACACCCTAACTTCACTCTCAGTTCTACTCTTAGCCCACATTGACAGCCGCCTCTCTTGTAAGTGAATCAGTTCTGAACTTGGACAGAAATATATTTTCAGATAGATCTAATTTTATAAAGAGGAATTGGGTCCCCAGGCCAGCATACATATGAAAATTTAATCCATAATTTACATTCATATGTTTATGAGAACTGATGGTATTATAGTACTGCATAGTACTTACTGGGCTTACTATATGCTAGGCACTAAGTGCTTCATACATGTAACTTCTTTAATCCTTACAACACCCCCATATATGCTAGATGCTACCATCCTCATTCCACATTTGAGAAAACGAAATCAGAATAAAATTAAGCAATTTACCCAAGGTCTCATAGCAAAGAGACATTGCCACCACATGATCACATCAAGGTTTCTAAAAGAAAATGTCTTCCAGGTCCCAATTTTGGACCACAAACCACTTTTGCCCTGGCAGTGAGATGGCCGATTTCCCTTTCCCCTGCTTCTCTTTCCCTAAAATTCCTAAACAAGACAAAGAAGATTCCTCAAGCTCCCACAACTTAAGACAAGCACAGTGCCCTCTAAATCCATCTTAGTCAGGGTCAGCACTGTATTCACCCCTGCTTTTCCTTTTCAGAGTATTAAGAGATTAGTTTGCCCTCTTCTCCTACTTTCCATTATTATTATCTTTGCTTCCAGTTAAGAATTTCTTTCTTCCTTGGGCAACATAAGACAGAAAAAACTCTCTCAGCTTTTTAAAGATACCATTTCTAAAGCAAAAATACAACTTTTATTTCAAAGATTATGTTTTAAAACGTTCATAGTAACATGGATAAACGCTTTTGTTATAACATTAAGTGGGAAGACAGCAGGATAGCAAACTATATGAATCATATAGTCTAATCTACAGGGGTAGGAAGGAAAAGTTATTTTTTAAAAAAGAAAATCACCAAAATGTTAATACAAATGGTTATTGGGTGACAGGATTATGGGTGGTATTTTAGATTTTTTTCCACTTTTCTACACTGTTAAAAAATTAAGACTCTAATATGCTTAAAATTAAAATACATAAATAAACATCATTTCAAAAAAAGATTCCCTCCCAACAGACACATGAAAAGATGTTCAACATCACTAGTCATCAGGGAAAGGCAAATCAAAACCACAATGATATATCACCTCACACCAGCCATAGTGGCTAATATCCAAAAGATAAAAAATAACAAATATTGGTGAGGATGTGAAGAAAAGGGAACTCTCCTACACTGTTGGTGGGAGTGTAAATTGGAACAGCCACTATGGAAAGGTTCCTTAAAAATGGTTCCTTAAAAAAAAAAAAAAGGCTCCTTAAAAAATGAAAAATAGAAATATCATATGACCCAGTAATCTCATTTCTAGGAATCCACACAAAGAAAACAAATAATTAATTCAAAAAGATATTGCATTCCTTTATTTATTGCAGCATTATTTACAATAGTCAAAATATGGAAGCAACCTAAGTGTCCATCAATTTATGAATAGATAAAAAGAGATGTGGTACACATAAACAATGGAATATTAGCCATAAGAAAGAATGAAATCTTGCCATTTGTTACAACATAGATGAACCTAGGCAGTATTATGCTAAATGGAAATTAAGTCTGTCAGAGAAAGACAAATACCATATAATTTCACTTACCTGTGGAATGTAAGTAAACAAAATAATCAATCAAAACAGAAACAGACTCATTAACACAGAACAGACTGGTGGTTGCCATATAGGAGGTGGGTGGAGGGATGGGAAATAGCTGAAGAGGGGAAAAGAAATTAGGGAAAATATTTTATATCTTGATCTGGGTGATGATTACATGAGTGTAAACATATGTCAAAGTTCACTGAGGTGTACACTAAGATTTATGTATTTTATTGTAATGCACCTCAAGTAAAAAAATAAATAAATTCCCTCCTCTGATCTACCGCCTTTCTTCTATCTACACTTTGGAGGAAAAACAAGGATATAAACAAAAAAAGTGCTATAGTTGGATTATCTAGAGAGGAAAAAAAGGACTAAATAACATTTTCTTCTACTTAAGTTATGAAGAAACAGTGAATCTCCTGAACAATTTATAAGTACAAGGGGACAGAGGCTGAAAGACAAAATACGTTTATTAACTCTTCTCTCCCTGCTCTCCTTCTTGATTACTGTGAATCCAATCACTACTATTTATCCCTTTTATACCCAGATTAGTGAATTTCTTAAGAGGCAAAGTCTATGTCTTATCTTTTTTACCTAGTGCTCAGTGTCATTAATATGCAAAATGAGGATCCAAGATCTTGCTCAATAAAGATGTGTTAAATAAATGAAAAGTACAAATGAGACAACATGAGCTTTTATGGAGCTCAATGATTGGTAGGGAAGACAATCATAAACATGTAATCGAATACAATATGGTAGATAAAGTAACATATGACCTAAAGGGGCACAAAGGAAGGAATGTTCAATCCTACTTGGGGACTCAAATGAGGATTTATGGGGAGCAGTTAAGACTGCAAAAGTATGTATTTTCTAGGTAAATGAGAAGGAAGGGCATTTCAAAAAGGACAGCATGTGCAAAAGATACCAAGAAATAAAATAGCATGCTGGATGTAATGTGCATAATCAACCGGGGATCTTGTTAAAATTCAAATTATGATTCAGCAGGTCTAGGGTGGAGTCTGAATTTCTGTATTTACAAGTTCCAGGTTAATGCTGATGCTGTTAATCTATAGACTAACAGTTTGAGTAGCAAAGGGTTATGACATTTACTGACGAGTCTGTATGCCTGGACCATATGGTTGGAAAGAGATAAGATCAGGATATGAAGTAAAGGCCTAACAAAAGACGGTAAGTTGTTTGTCTGTTAAAAGTATCTCAGCTTAACAGAAACCGCTCTGCCTTAGTTAAGCAGTAACTTAGGGCTAAGAATTTCAAAAACTAGATAGATTATCACCATGAAACTATAATGACTAATGAAAAAATAGGTAATACAAAGTAATAAGTAGATCAGGGAAAGGGAAAATAATAAGTGAACATATCACATTTTTTATGCAATTGTTAAGTCTGAAGTTATACATACATTGAATTGAAGAATTTTTACTTACAAAGTCATCTTCACCTTCAGCTAAACCATAATTGGGCAACATAGCTCCCTCCATTGTGGTGCTCTTGAATACTCCTTTAATTTTGCTACCTATTCTGCTGATTCCAAATGACTCTCCTCTTTTCTGTGTGCTCCTAAATATTAAACAAAAATGTATTGAGGTCATAGCAAATTTATCAACAGTCTAGTTTATTATAAATAATAATAAAGAAAAACAGTTGTGAAAAGGGTAAACTGAAGATACATAGCTACCATAACTTTTAACATAACTTTTGAAATTCTCAGTCATAGATTAAGTCTCAACATCTCAGAAGCTCAAAGTGGCAGAACATTTAAAGTTTAAATGTGGAAGTATGAATAAATGGACAATATGTATTAACAAACATTTGAAATTTACCTTCTATTTAACTTTGCAACATTAACAGAAATAAACTTTAAAAGATGAGAGCCCCCTAGTGGATATAGTTCTTATTGTCATACATATTTAGAATAGATAAAAAATGTGTTAAGACCAGCATTCAAAACAGAATATACATTTAGAACTATACTGCTAAGATAATAGTGTAACAGAGAAAAACATAAATTTATGACCTTCTCAGTACCTCATTTTTAGATGGAAATTTAGCAAAAAAAATTCTGTCCTATCTGACTAAAAAATTTTAAGCAATAATCATATAAATACTCAAAAGAGGAATGATGTATAAAATATATCTCGCTTAATGTCAAGAAATAAAAAGGAAAGATAAAATGTCAAAGGGAACGGTTAGCAATGAACATAAGGATAAAAGTAAATGTAGCCTAAAGAATCAGCCTGCTCTGCCGTATATATTAAATGTTTGTTTTGTAATTTTTTTTAAAAAGTGGATTCCTAAAAACAGAAATAGCCAGAAAGCAACAACAAAAAATAAGCCAGAAAGCAACAAAAGCTCCTGCAGTGAAGCTTACTATCCTTTGTTTCGACAAATAAAAACATGATGTTTAGCCAATGGAAAACTCATGCTTACCATGTAATACTGCCCTTACAACAGACGACAAAATAAAAATGACTATTTTAAAATCCAAGAAAGTTTGTTTTGAATGCTTAACTTAATGGAGAGCTAGTATTCCTACAAGCAAAATTTATTTACTGAAATAATGCAACAATTACAGAAATAAAAGTAAACTGATCAAGTTTCAAATACACCAGATATATTAGTGACATGTTCATTTTAAACATGTTCAGGGAGCAAGTCAAATTTATTTTAAACTGGAAAAAGTCTGAATAATAAGTAATAATAGTAAGTAGTAAAAAGAGTACTTAAACTGGATTCTTTTATTTAAACAAGCATGCAATTAGAGTTTTTTAAAAATCCAGAATCATAAATGAAATTCTGATAAAGTGTGTCTTGGAACAAATAATGACAATGTTAACAAAATATTATTAAATCTCTAGAATCAAGATCAATTATTCTAGTCTACAGAGCCTAGGTAAAACAACCGGGCTTTTTGAAATGTGACACATTTATAAAAATATCTCACTTGTGATTATGCCCAGAAATACAAAAATATTGTATTTTCTGCTTTAAAAAAAAGTTATTTACACAAAATTTTAGAAGGAATTTAGAAAAATCATTAATAAAGTGTCAATAGCTTTGAAAAGCAAAATGTTGACTTTTTCATTTTATTTTTATTTTATGATGTATATCATGCTTCCTTAAAAAGAACATATCTAGAATCAAAGTAGTGATTAATTTTAAAAGGATATTCCTAATCACTGATATAAAGGCAGTACTAACACAGGTGTTTCATTTTTTCCTTTTTAGTTGACTTAGGTTGTTTTGGGTATACTTTCTGAAAACAGAAAATTTATGCAGAGAAGAATAACATGCTATCTCAAAACTTACTGAAAATCATCCAAACTTAGGCTACCTCTGCAATACCAGATACGTGAAATTATATAAGGAAAGGAGAGAGAGAAAGCCCAGATATTAAACAAGTTTCATTTTAGAACATGAAATAAAATTTAAAAGCTTGAAAAGTTACACAGGTGGACAGCATTCATTATTACAAAGGGAAGAAATCCTTATGAATAACATGATAAGGAAAAGAGAAATAAAGTACAATGGCTGTTTTTAGAGTTTGGGATTTAAGTTCTAAATCATTAAAAAAGTAGTTCTTAAAAACTCTGTAAGTCAGGAAATAATTCTGTATTTTTTGCCCTCATTTAGGCATGCCATTTGTTTGATATAGTGGGAAGTATGCAGAGACTCTTTAAAAACTTGGCACAAAAAATAAACTAGTATTTTCCAACACAGAATTCATCCCTCTACTAAATATAATTACGCATGCTTCACACTTACTACTTTGGGTATTTTTAAAAGTATGTTTTAAGCTAAGAAGCAAAGTTAACAAAGGATACCTATGTATTTTTTCAAATTTTGCTTTGAGTATGGAATGAAACAACAGATTAACATCAACACACATTAAAATTTTACTTTTAAAATATACAATCAGATATAGACATAAAATATATGAATATTTACATTTTTTAAAATCATTTAACAGCAAATTGGCAGTGGTACTCTAAATTTGCAATGAAAGAATGTTAAGAAGGTCTTTAATTCTACATAGGTAAATGAATCATTAAGTATCACAGAAGCAGAGTCCTGACTAAATATAGTAATACTAAAGTCAGGTCAATATAAAGAAAAACACACTTTTTTAAAAGACCACACTCAGTACCTAGAAATTAAAGAACCTGTATTTTCTTCTTTATTTTATATTTTAAAGCTAGCAAAATTAGTGCCTAAATATGCTGAGGACAATTTAGTGTTCTCAAAGTGGCAAAAAAAAGCATTCCGTCTCTGAAACTATGAGCCTGACTTAGGTTTAGCTACTCAGTAGATGTAAGATTTAAGAACCATTTCCCCTTAAAAGGTCCTACATATAGGAGTTTCATTAAGTTCAATAGCTAGTATGATACTCTAAATATCATGACTTTACAAACAGGGACAAATTCCACCTGCTTCTCAAATGATGCTGGGAAATTTGATAGAAGTCTTGAAAAAGTACTCAAATGAAAGAAGAGTAATGTGAATTGGGTGACAAATGATTTTATAAATAGCATGGATGGGTTTTTTGTTAAATATAGTCAAAATTTCATGGCTGTAATACATAAATTCTTAGGAAAGAATGATACTTTTACAAACCCTTCAGAAAAGTTATTACATGTATACTACTTATACTAAGGTATTATATAAAAATATCCAACATTGAAAAAAATTTGAATCTATTTCTACAACCCTTGGTTATGTGAAAAAATGCAGCATTTTCTCCCACAGCTAAGGCTTTCACATTTTTTCTTGTACTATCTAAAAATCTACTCTTTTTTCTGACCTATCTACCTTTCCTTCTGAACCACATCTCCAGTTTATTTATATATTTATTAAATCCTTGCTTAAACAAATTGGAAGGTGTTGAGAGCAATGTGACTATTTTGTAGACTTACAAATTTGATATCTGTGTCAACAGTGGAAATATAACAATGTAAGGATAAATCAAGACATTAATTATGAAGTTTATAAGTGGATAAAGCTTCTTTCTTCTGTTATCTTTCTTTGGATCGTTTAATTGCAAACTTAACATTTCCAGAAAGCCAGAAGGCAAAGTGAGAAAAACCCCTCAACATTTGTAACCAGTAAGTACTCTAATAAAAATTAGTCTCTGGGAAAAAACAAAAACTAAATTTTAAACTACTGATTAAAATTAGAGTTATATGTGGACTGCATATATACGCAGTCCATAATCACCAATAAAGCAGGTGATCAAACACTAATATGTATCAATTAAAAGATTAACAAGGCAATCTTGTTTAATTTTCTAAAAGAATTTCAGGCATTTTCAGGTTATATATCTATATATATATATATAGTTCAAAAATTCTTTAGTAGAATGTCTTGTTTACTTATGCAGCAATGGAACCACATATTCACAAAAAAGCAATAAAGACAATGACACTTTCACAGAATGATTAGATTCAGAGCACAAAAACAAAACATACATATGACTGAATATACCGACCTGTTGAATTTTGAATTGCGTGTTGGTGATTCTGCACCTCTTAAAAGTTGTCTGAAATACTTCAAAAATAATTATGATTTATTAAATTAATATTTGCCATTAAAGCATTTTACCTTACTACTTTCCAGTTTAAAGAAAATGTTATTTAAATCAAGTGAATATAATCACAGTCAGAGTAAGGATTAAAATATTGCAAATGGAGATATTCAGACCACTTGATTTCCACAGGTCTGTAAATAATGTATATAACAAGAAGTATGGAGTTTCCGCTTCACTACAGTACCGCAAAGCCGTTCAGGCATATGTCAAATCAAGTAGACCAAATGGGTCAAAATTCTACCTAGTCATATATATACAAACATGGTTTTGGTATTGAGAATTAATTTTACAATCAACTTCTAATCTCCATTAAGTTATGTAGTAGAAAAGAGTATTCACTTTCTTAATTATGTTTTATTTCATTTATTTTTTTATTTGAATTATTCATCTAACAACATCAAAGCCAGTATTAAATTTTGAAGAAAACTCCTCAAACAAGATTACTACTTTGACTTACCTCATCACTGTGGCAGAACATAGGAGTAAAAACATTCTCCAAGAGAGAAAGTACATGTTCATATGCTTCAAAAAGACATCTCATGGTTTGAAGTTTCACAACATCTATATATGGGCCTTCAGCAACTATTAAAATATTAAGTCACAGAAACTGTTTATGACTAGCATAAGTAAGTTACATTAACTTAAAATTCACGACAGTAAAAGACAATTCTAAAACTGTTTTGCAGAAACCCCAGCAAGTTATAGAAATCACACTGGATTGAGGAATTAGAACAATGAAGCTCCAATTTTAAAAATATTAGTTATATGAACTGTGAATAAGTTTCTTCATTGAAGCTTTCATCTTGTTAGTAAAACAGAATAATGGCTGCCTGTGTATATAGCTATTGTAATAATGAACAGAAAATATATGAAAAAACTCTGAGAACTACAGAAAAGCTACAGAATTCATTATCATCTTTGACTCACTTTTTTGAATCTCTTCTACAATGAAGGGATCAAATCGAATTTTGTCAATACTTTCATCCAAACAATACGTTTTATAAATCTTCTGCAACTCTTCATGAAGAGATAGCATTTCATCATTTGATAACTCTGGTCGCAAAATTCTATCATTGAATTCCTCTAACAAATTAAGAAAGAGCAAGAGCAAAATGAATTATTTTAACATAAAACTACTCATGAAAACTTCATATTCCCAGTTTAATTGTAATCAACATTGAAAGCAACAATTATAAACAACCTGTTCATCACTTTAAGCACTTTAAAAAGATTTAATTGGGAGTAAAACACCCAGATGAAAGAGAAACTCAGTCAACCAAATATTTACATACTAAAAAATATGTAAATATTTACATAGATATGCAAATATTCTAAAATTTAGAATAGCAAACACATTTCTAAAATTTTCTTTAAAGAACATACTGGATTAATTTCTTATGCCAGCAGTCTTTAATATTTTGAAATCTGATTTAGTAAATAACAGTGAAAACTAAGGGTTTTTTTAGTTGTAGTCAATTTTTTAAATAATATTTCCTTCAATCATGGAGGTTACAGTCTAGTGATGAAGCTGAGAATCTCAACAAATGAGTCTTTTTTTTCAAATGACAAGTTATAGCATTAGGATGGCCAAATTGACTGCCTTTTTTATTAAGAGCTGTCACTATATAATTTACCCCTTTTTAGTTATCCAAACTGAAACACAGAAGAAAGGAAGGAGTTAAACAAAAAAAAAAAAACTAGAACAGAATATATAAGACCTTTTGGGTAACAGCAAATTCATATGATTAGAATCTCAAAAGCAAAGGAGAAAAAAAAACAAGGCAGAATATTGAAGAGATAATAACCAAGAATTTTCAAAAATGATGTAAGACACCAACCCATGTATTCAAAACTCTTAGTATAAGTCAGGCATAATAAAGAAAAAGAAAACTAAACATTATAGTCAAATTCCTAAAGATCAAAAATAAAGAGAAAACTGTGAAAAACAAGAAAAGGGACATATTACAGGGGAACAGTCATATGGGACTGATTTCTCATTAGAAACAATGGCATTGTCCAAAAGACAATGGGAGAATGACCTTAAAGTACTGAAAGAAAAAACTGTCAACCTAAAATTCTATTTCCATGAAAATACCCTTCAAAAGTAAAGACAAACATCTTCTCAGACAGACAAAAGCTAAGAATATTTTCATCCAGTAGACTGGTACCACAAGAAATGCAAAAAAGATTTCTTTCAGCAGAACGGAAATGACAGAAGAAATCTGGTTTTGCAGAAAGGAATAAAGGAATACAATAAAGGTAAATATATCAATAACTTTAAGGGCTAAAGTGTGTGTGTATGAGAAGATCAGGAACAAAGCAAAATCTATTGGCTATTTAAAGAATAACAATGTACTATGGGTTTACAGCCTACACATGATTACAAGATATGATGATAAGCACAACAGGTAGGAAATGGGTAATCTGAGGTCATACTGAGATTCTTAACATTGTTCCTAAAGCAGCGAAACATTTTTAAACAAAGTGTGTGATATATCAAAGATGCACAGTGTAACCGCTGAGCAACTACTAAAGAAAGGAAAAAAAAAAACAGAAGAGACATCTTGAGTCAACAGAGACAAAACAGAATACTAAAAAATGCTCAGTAATCCAAAGAAAGGCAGAAAAGGAGGGAAAAGAACAAAGAATATATGGAACACACTCAAACACTAAGATAGAGGACCTAATGAATGATAAACATATAATAATATATTAATCATGAAGGTACTACACACCCCAATTAGAAAGCAAAGATTATGAAAACTAGATTTTTTAAAACAAGGATTCAATTATATGCTGTTTACAAGAAATACATTAAACACTTTAATCATATAAAAAGGCATACAGGGTAAACCCAAGTGTAATGAAAAAAAACATACCTTTATGAATTATCAAAGTAGACTTCAAGACAGAAAATTACCAGTGATAAAAAGAGCACTTTACAATGATAAAATGATAAATTTATCCAAAGGACATATAATCTTAAATGTTTTTGCACTTAATAATAAAGTTTGAAATACACACAAAAAAATGTAACAACACTAAAGAGAGAAATAGCAAATCTATTAAAAAAATCAGAAAGAACACAGAATATGTGAACATAATCCATCAATTTAACCTAACTTACATTTATAGCACACTATCCAACACAGCAAAACATTCTCACACATGCTCATGGAACATTAAGACAAACCATATGGATGGGCATAAAACAAGTTTCAATAAATTTCAAAGACTGAAATCACACAAAATGTTACCTTATCAGTATAATACTAAATTAGAAATTAATCAAGTATCTTGAAAATTCCCAAGTGTTTGTAAATTCAACGATACACTTCAAAATAACCCGAAGGTCAAAGAATAAACCAAAGAAAATTAAAAAATACTTCAAACTTAGAGACAGTAAAAAACACAACATATCAAAAATTTAGGATTCTATCTATAACAACTCATAGAGAGAAATGTATGTTTTAAATGCCTATATTATGAAAGACAGGTGTACAAATTAATCATCAGTCCTTCTACTTTAAGAAACCAGAAAAGGAAGTGCAAACCAAACTCAAGGTAAGTAGAAGGAAATAATAAAAATAAAGTGAAAACTAGCAAATCAAAAATATTAATAAATTTTTTAAACCTCTAGCAATATATATTAAGAAAAAGTAAGCACAAATTACGAATAAGGAGGACATCACTACAGATCCATAATAAGGGAACATGGGAACGTTAGGAATAACTCGGTAACAATAAAATAGGTTACTGAGACGCAATAAGAGCATTCAGAAAAATTTAATATCCATTCATGATAAAAACTCTCAGCAAACTAGAAGAAGGAAGCTTTCTCAATCTGATCAAGGGATCTACAAAAAACCCAGACTGGTATCGTAATTAATGGTACAATACTAAACGATTTCCCCCTAAGATCAGGAACAAAGCAAGGATGTCAACTCTTACACTTCCACTCAACTTTGTAGTGAGGGTCCTAGCCATTGCAAGACAAGAAAAAAATTAAAGGTATAAGGAAAAAGATACATCCACAGATGACATGATTCCGTATATAGAAAATTTTAAGGGAATCTACAAAAAAAGTTACTAGAACTAGTAAGTGAATGTAACAATGCCACAGCATACAAAGTTAATATGCAAGAAATCAATTCTATTTATATATATCTTAGCAATAGACATCTGAAAACTTATTTTAAAATACCATGTTCAATAATCCAAAAACATAAAGACCTATAGTAAAAACTGTAAGACATTATGGATAAAAATTAAGTAAGACTGAAAATGAATGAAAAATATACCATGTTCATACATTGGAAACCTAAATACTACTGAGATGTCATTACTCCCAAATTGATCTATAGATTCAGTGCAATCTTCACCAAAAAATCCAACCAGGCTGGAGGTGGGGGAAGGAAGGGAACTAGCAATCCGATTCTAAAATTTATATAGAAATGCAAACAACCTAGAAAAGCCAAGACCATCTTGAAAAAAGAACAAAGTAGGAGACCTTAGACCACTTAATTTCAAGACTTACTAATATAGCTGAAGTAATGAAGACTGTGGTCTTGGTCAAAAACAAACAGACCTAACGATCAATGGAAAAGAACAGAATCCAGAAATAGATTCACACATATATGACCAAATGATCTGACGAATGCACCAAAGTAATTCAAAATGGGAAAGAAACATCTCTTCAAAAAAATAGGTATTAGAAAAACTGGACATCCATAAAGAGGAAAAAATGTACCTCCCCCCCCACTTAATACCAACACAAAAATTAATTCAAGATAGGTCACAAACCTGTATGTATAATATAAAACTATAGTACATCTACAAAAAGCAGGCAAATATCACTTAGCTTAGGGTAGGAAAAGATTTCTTAAAGAAGTCTCAGAAAGCAGTAACCATAAAATTTAAAATACATACATTGAATTTCATCAAAATTAAAATGGTCTGCTCATCAAGACACTATTCAGAAAATGAAAAGACAAGCCATGGTATGAAGGAAACATTCATAATACTTTCATCTGTAAAAAAATTTGTATCTAGAATAAAAAACTATAATTTAATGATAAAAAGAAAAGTTAATTAAAAATAGACAAAAGACTTAAATGTTCCCATTGAAACATAACAGAATGGCCAAAAAGCATAGGATAACATGTCATTTGAGGAATGCCATTAAGTCATTTGAGGAGTGCAAATTAAAAGACCAAGATATGTACATCCATTAAAAAAGCTAAAATTAAAAAGACAGACATCACCAGTTTTAGTAAAGATACAGAACAACAAGAACTTTCATACATTGCCAGGGGAGAAAAATAGTACAACCACTTCAGAAACAATTTGGCCACTACTTATAAAATTAAAGACTACTACTTAGTAATAAAAAAGAACAAACTACTCATCTGTACAACAATGATCAGCTGTAAAAAGCATTACCTTGAATTAAAGAAGCCAGGATAAGAGAGTACATAGTATATGATTCCATTTATACTAACCTATGGTGAGAAAAATGAGATGACTGATTGTTTAGGCAGAAATGTGAGCAGAGGTGGATCATTTGCAAAGGCCCTGAAGAAACTTGCTGGGGTGATTTAAATGTTCCATATCTTGATAAAGGTGTAGTTAAATGGATTTATAAATTAGTCAAAACTGATCAGACTGTGTTTTGAAGTTCTATGAGTTTCACTGTGTAAATTACACCTTAATTTTTAAAAACATATTTAAAAGAGAAATTATGTGCATTAAAAAATCTTTTCACAAATAGTTCATAAAGTATCTTATAAATGACATAATGCAAAATGTTCTAGAGCTTATATCAAAATAAAACATTTTTGTACTTGATTATTTAATCAAAATATTCCTTAACAAAAACTGTAACAAAGTTTTATTGATATGGGCTAATGATTGGGTCTTTAATATATTTTCATTGTAATGATTTTTTCAGTAGTTTTTTTCTGCTAATAGGATTTGGTTGAAGTCAGTTAAAGATTATATTCCAATATGGAAATGAGTAGACACTTGAGTGACAACACTTCGGAGTTCTTAGCATATCTAATAGATTAAACTCAGTACAATGA